ACTTCTACCACTTCATCACGGCAGACATTATGTATCAATGGCTTATGTGCCATGTAAATCATTTCTCAATATGCACACGTTTCTTAGACATTTTTCCTATTCCATGTATTCTCACTAGTCCACGCCCGTCAAATTAATGTGTACGCTGGGACTCCTCCTTCAGACTTCCCCTTCGTATCCGAGAGGAATTCCCAAATAACAATCCTAATTCCTTCTAAAACGGTGTACTGTCTTTAGCGAATTTTCTTTCTAAATGTATATTATCCTCAATTTAGCAGTTTTAACTGTTATATCATACAGAAATACATATATTAGGTCATTCTCTTATCGTTTGAGATAGTTCACTCGCAAAAGTGCGTAGAAAACTACAGTTATAGATACATTATTTCTGTTTACTAAAAGGGATGTAAACACCAAGCAAAGTGGGAGTTAATTTCTAATTGTGAAATGTTTACTATTAAACAAAAGTTTCAAAGAAACAAACTAAAAAAATTGAGTTAACTCAGAAGAGAAACCACATATATAGAGAAGATTGTCATTTCTTACAAAGAGAAATTCAAAAAGATGTACCTCATTTATAGATAAACTACCAATCTGAGTAGCTTCTATATTTCGCATAGATATCCTTGTTTTTTTGCTGGATATCTATCGACGCGATATGTATGTCACAGATGCTATATTATGGAAAACTCCGAAACCCTATTCTTCTTTTTTTTGCTCTTCATTTGGGATCGCTGGGCCGTAAGATTATGAGATGTCGGTTCCTCCAAGTGAATTTGTTCGATTATAGCATCGAAGCGAAGCATACGCTTTTCCCCTTTCCTTTGGTACATTATTAACCTGCGCAATAGTTGCTGGCACTGGCAATATATGTGGAGAATCATTCGCTTTATCACTCCTTTGTGTAACTTCTTCTACTTGACAAATCCCATTTTTAGTTACCCCTTTTTGGAATAATTCTTGCATCGAATTCTTTCTTCGCAAAGGTCTCTAAAGATTCTCTCAATTCAGCAACCTCCTTCTTGCAATTGTTCAAGAAATTCACTAATTCCTGTTTGGTCAAGTCATCTTTCATGATGAAGCTTTTGAAAAATTCATTGTAGTGTTCTTCCTTCTTTGTTAGTACATCAAAACATCTGGACATTACTCTAT